TTTTAATTGGAGGCATTTTTCATTCCCTATTTCTGCGCCATGGATGAACGAACTACTTCACAGAATATTCTCCTTATTGTTTGTGTCCACCGAACGATGCCCGCCTGCATAATCTAATGAATAACAATAATTCAAGACTAATGTTTGTTGTACGATGAAAAATGCTTTTTCTTCCACTCTCATTATTTTATAAGCCATCTTTATCGATTATGATAGTGTCTAAAATCGAACGTAATTTTGCCCTCATCGATTATGATAATAGCGCATAAAATCGAACATGATTTTGATTGATTGATTTAAAATGTTATAATCTAGATATTAATCAGATTAAATTTAGAGGTTTAATTTCAATTTTAATTAAATAAATCAAAAGTCGATAAGTAGCATGTGTATCAACATTGTACCACTAGAACCTTAAATTCCACATGGCGTATACATAACAAATATTGCATCGTCATTTTAATGATTACTATTATTAATTTAATGAAGAACATAGTTAACATAAAAGTTGTTTTCTTCATTTAACAACTATTGGATTATTGGCAAAAGTCACTATTTTGTAATTTTCTTCATCCATATAATTTATTTATTTATTTATTTTTTGGTCATCATTCGTCCATATTATATTTGTAGTTTTTATTTGTAATTAATAAGCTTAATTACACTCATTATCTTAATATAATTCATAATGAGTCTAATCATTAATGGTTTTTGTCTCTTCATTCCATTATAGGGCTAGCTTTCCATAAAAAATACATGTCCTTATTTGGCCTCAAAAGGTGCTGAATCAGATGGGACCAGGTTGGTAGCTTAGTTACATTTAAATAATTTACTTAAAAGTTTTAAAATAAATAATTTTTTGTTGCTTAAAATTGTAAATAAGATACTTATTTTAATTTTTTTTTATCATCTTGTTATTATAAAAATGAGAAACTTTTTTACTTATAAATATAAGTAAAGAAAACAAACCATATTCAAAAGCGAAATTGGTGGAGTTTGACCACTTAAAATAAGAAGGGTGTCACACTATATAATTTATACTCAAATGTTGATATTTGAGCGAGAAAGGCAACCTTTTTATATGCGCTAAGAACACGTGTTTTTTGTCAAGAATCTTCGCTTTGAATCAATATGGTAACATTAACCGTAAAATCCATGTGAAGTTATTGGATTTTCATTAAATATTATGTGTTACTATAATGCAAAAATAAATTAGCGTGAGTCATAATTAATCGTGCTTTTCATTTTGTGTCTGAAAGAGTCAATGATTGTTGCTTAGTGCCTTGGTTTATGCTTCACTTTAAAAGATATCTTTTAGTTTTGGTTTTCCATTTCCTTGAATATTGGAAGTGGTTATTTTCCTCTGTGTATATAAAGGCTCTCAGCTGAATAAAATGTTGTGTAGAGACTTTCTACATCTTTGATCCTTCCATTCATTTGATTTAATTCTTCTTAGAGTAATTTTTGTTTTTCTTGCTTCTCATACTCTATTTTTAAACATCTGGACGTATTGAATATAACATTTACCTTACAGAACGATTTGATGGACCTTTGCATAAAGTCGATTTTATTTTGTCTATTAATAAGTTGACCACTTTATTTTATAATATAATATCACGATGGTTCGTCGGGTTTTTGGTGCTTTACGAATTATAATATCACTAAATACGAACTTGTGTGTTTCTAAATGTGGTTGAGACAATTAGCTCAATTCAACTTATGGGGTTGAACCCCAACTTTATGTCCGAACTTAGACCTAGTGATTTCGTCACGCAATCATTAGATAACGTGTCAAGTTAGGTGTAAACATTGTGTGCGGGCCACATTAAAATTAGAGACTCATGTCCTATTCTTTGTATGATATATGACACGTGAAACATGGAATTCATATGCCAAAATGATTATCAAGACTGTTACATGTATCATCCACAAGTTTTTCTCCCAAAAAACATACAAATAGATAATTGGTGCTTGATTTTTGTTAAATATATAGAAAATTTTTCACATTGTTCTGATTTCAACTGGGAGCATCTTCAAGATATTTTTTTGAAATCTTTAAAATTGAGATGCTTTTTTATTATAAAGAAAAAAACTAAGAGCATCTTCTTGATGAGAAGTTAACAACTGATAAAATGGTACATCAATTAATTATTGAAACCCACCATAAATTTATTGTGATGCGTGGATGGAAGATGACGAACTTTTAATTTTTTTTTTAGTTATTTTTAAAGTCATTTGACAAAATTGCCCCTTGAAATAAAAATAAAATAAAGACAATTGCATTACACGCACAAATTAACAACCATTTTGGATGGATTCATTCAAAAGGGTGATGTTGCTGAAAAATGAAAAGGTTCGGGACAATTTGAGCCACACTTAAAAGGTTCGGATCAAAATTTTAATTTGGACAAATGTTTGAAATAATTTGCACCAATTTTTTCATAATTATAATCTATATTACAAAAATTTCCAAATATCATTAGCAACATAATAATAATAATAATAATAATAATAATAATAATAATAATAATAATAATAATAATAATAAATCAATCTATCAAGAGCTCGAGTAAACATCAATAATATTTTAATAAATTAATATATCGATAAAGAATTTTGGATGGTCCATGGTATCTTTATGCAAATAGAGGGGAAGAAAACTTTACCGCAGAGATGTTGGCGGAATTGGATTATTCTGCTCGTCCGCAAGCCCCCCAAAAATAGGTGACGCCCTTGTTCGTCTAGGGTCCACGTGGCCTTGGACGAGTAGCACGGTTTGGGGGAATTTGATAATGTTTCAAGGGTTACAATGCACATATGGAATAAATAAATTCTTGCACAATCTTCGTCCTATTGAGCATACATTATTTTTATAAATTCTTCCCAATTGAAGGCTCTACAGATTTTATTTGCCAACTTATTAATTTCTTAATTGGATGGATCATGATAAATGTTGTCGATTTTATATCTTACAAGTGAACGGATGGTAACAAATAATAAAGTGAGCCTAAGAGTCCAAATTATCATTCCCACGATGACTATTATCTAAATCAATAAATTAGTGGCCAATTAATTCAAAATATTAAGAATGGAAGTAAAAAATAAAAAAAATAAAAATTGAATTTTTTTAATTAAAATTAAGTCAAAACTAGGTTACAATCATTTATCCTAACTAATTACTTAATTACACATCACTGGGGAAAAATAAAACAAGAGAGACTTAAAGTACATCATCAAGATTTAAGGAAAAATGAGAAAAAAGAAGAAGATCTTGCACTAAGAATCTATCTTCTTCTTTTAAAATCCTTGAAACCCTAACTTATTGATTGATTTCTTGATTTTTCCTTCCTTTGAGGCTATCTTTTCTTGTGATTGATATTAATTTTTATCCTAAGAGGCCATTTTTGCTTGAATATTTGTATAAAAGAATCCTCAACATCTCGGCTTGAATACATATGTAATGTAACCCTACAAGCCTCCTTCAAGACTATGATACATATTTATAGAACAAGATTTCGGTCAAAATCCCCGTTCAAAGAAAATAATCTCGTCTTTTAATTATACTCATTTTTTCATTCAACTTTAGTCATTCATTTTCTGATATTTGTAATTAAGTCCTTTTAATCTCAAAATCATTAATAATTGATTAGATGCAAGTTTAGAAAGTTTGTAATTTAATCGCCAAACTTTTAAATGTTGAATTTAACTCCCGAAACTTATGAATTTTTACTGAATTCTTCATTAATACTTTCAATTGATGATCACTTGCACTTCGATTAATCTTCAAATGCTCTGAATCAAATTCAATTAAGCTCTAAATAACATTTTTATACACTATATCCTAGTTGATATTTTTCTTATAATTAATATAATTTACACAAATTAAGTAATAATCACTCAATTTATATAATTAAATAAGAATAGAAGTTGGGATAAGTGCATAAAATTCATGTTCCTCATTAGCAAGACTATTTATTAAGCACACAAGCAACCAAATAAAAATACTGCATTAAATAACTTTATCACTAGCATCAAGTATTGAACTTGTTTGATAATTCATAAAAAGTTCATAGGTAATGCAACTAAAATTAACTCTTTACTTGTTCTATGCTTGATAGATGTGTGTGTATAGTCAATCAAATAATCATAAATGTTTAAGTTTGTTATTTTCCGATCCATAAAAGTCATTTAATTTATTTCTCTATCGTGTGATGCATAATTCCAAACTTGTTGTTCCATCATATTCCCTAGATGTATATTCTAAGGTTGATTATCACAACATTCGTTCATTTGATGCTCAAAATGAAAGTCACTATTTCAATATATGATGATTCTCCCTAGATTTGAACGTTTCAACCTCCAAACTTCAACTAGAATAATAACCCTCATTGGAAGTCTAAATTTCAAATTAAGTATCCAAGACTTATACGGATGAAAACAATATGCTTATAGCTGTTTTGTCATTGTCTTAATACACTCAATAGATGGTCTCCTAAACATTGGTGAAACATTGTTGATGAATAGGGCTGAATTACACAAGACAAGCTTCACATAACAAAATGCATGTGAATTGAGCCATTCCAATCCCAAATCGCGTGATATTTATTGATATAATGTTAAACATTTTTTATCATATTATAAATTATATATGTCTCTATTTCTCAAACAAGTATTCAACTTATATTATGATAAAGAGATCGAAGGCACATCATTGCATGTTCAATCAAAACAATACAAATGCAATTTATACACTTGAACAAAATATTATTTATCAAAAAGTAATTTGTCTAACTATCACTGTAGGCCTAACACTCTTAGGCACACGTGCCAAAAACTTCACCATTTTTGCTAATCTTGCAAAAGCAAGCATATAAAGCTAACTTGGAAAACATGCTCAAGTCATGCCTTTCTTTGTCCCCTTAGCAACTTTCTTAGCTGCAAAGTTCAGAACATGATAGTTTATATAAATCTTAGTTCTACACTTAACCCTGTACAAAATTATTCATCTCCTATGGTTAACTTGTAAAGTTCACCAATGGATGCTTCCCCGTCGTCTGATTCCGACACTTTAGCGCCAAGGAAAAGGTTATTTGGTCGAGAAAGGCCAATACGTGCAGTTCTAGGAGGAGGAAAAGGTACTAAACATCCTACAATACCAGACACAGTATGAACGGCGAAGAATAAGTTGAAATTTTTATGTTATTTCGCACTATTGTCCAATAATACGTACTAAACATGCTCTTTTCAAAATACTATAATTTTCTTGCTTATTTTTGTTTGTCACAAGTGCTTATGAATCGAACTTGCAGTTGCTGATGTGCTGTTATCGAGGGACACAAGAATTTTCGCTGCAATTCTATTTGGAAGTGCAGCAATATGGTTGCTTTATAAGGTTGTACAATACAACGTTGTGACTCTATTCTGTCAACTTTTCACCGCAACAATGCTAGTTGTCTTCATTTGGCCAACAGTTGCAGAATTTTTCAATTGGTAAGAACAGCACAAAGAAGTCGCAAATTACTAAATTGGAAAATTCAGTAGTAAACCCAACAAAAGACTTGTACCAAACTGAATGTCTTGTCAAAATTTATTAAATTTTCATTTTGTTTCAGGCAAACAAGCGTCTTGTTGGACATGTCGTGCCTTTTTTCTATATTTTTCTTTATAAAACCAAATTTCAGAAGCATGACTTATCCAACGATACACATTTTTTTCCTAAACAGATGATGAAAATTGCAATCACTTCATTTCCATAAGCCAACTCAACATTTCTGTTAATTCAGCAAAGCTAGAGCCTAAATTGAAACTAGATTTACTAACATGAAAAGAAAAAGAAAAAGGATTAATGACCGAAGCAAAACAACGTTACAAGTAGTTAGTGTTTGAGATTCTCCTCTTAATATATTGATCATTTAATATGAAACCGCAAGTCGTAATCGTGAACAATGTTTTCTTTAGGGGCAGCGTTTCTATGACATCCAAGCTGCAGTGGCGCGCTGCTCAACATCCCAGTCTCGGAGAGTCACTGCACTGGCGTCAAGTCGAGACCACCTCTGATCTTGAGCTTCATACTCAGCTGAAAGAATTGATTCCAGAAAAGCACGAGCGTCTGAATAAACTCAAGTCAAAACATGGTAAGGTTGAGCTGGGGAACATTACTGTTGAGATGGTTGTTGGTGGAATGAGTGGACTGACAGGATTATTATGTGAAACTTCATTAATTGATCCAGAAGAAGGAATTCTATTCCGAGGTTTGTCCATTCCCGAGTGTCAAAAGTTATTACCCGCTGCAAAGCCTGATGGAGAACCATTGCCTGAGGGCCTCCTCTGGCTTCTTTTAACCGGAAAGGTACCATCAAACAAGCAAGTAGATTCGCTATCAAAGGAATTGAGACGTCGTGCTACCATCCCGGATCATGTATACCAAACCATTAATGCCTTACCTGTTAACGCTCATCCAATGACGCAATTTGCCACTGGTGTGATGGCCCTTCAAGTTCAAAGTGAATTCCAAAAGGTATATGAGAAGGGGATTCATAAATCCAAGTACTGGGAACATACATATGAGGACTCCCTAAATTTGATTGCTCAAATCCCAGTCGTGGCTGCTTATATCTATCGAAGGATATACAAGAATGGACATGTTATACCAATGGACGATTCCCTAGACTATGCTGGAAATTTTGCACACATGCTCGGCTTCGATAATCCTGAGATGCTAGAGTTTTTGAGGCTTTATGTGACCATACATAGTGATCACGAAGGTGGAAATGTTAGTGCTCATACCGGTCATATAGTGGCTAGTGCACTTTCAGATCCTTATCTGTCATTTGCTGCTGCATTAAACGGTTTAGCCGGTCCACTTCATGGTATGGTTAATCAGGAAGTCTTAGTCTGGATTAAATCTGTCGTAGACGAGTGTGGGGAGGATGCCTCCAAAGAAAATTTGGAAGACTTCGTCTGGAAAACATTGAACGGTGGCAAGATTGTTCCGGGATTTGGACATGAAGTTTTGCGCAAGACAGATCCAAGATACACGTGCCTGAGAGAGTTCGCACTCAAGAACTTGCCTGATGATCCACTATTCAAACTGGTTTCTGATCTCTACGAAGTTGTGCCTCCAATACTATTAGAACTTGGCAAGATTAAAAACCCGTGGCCTGATATAGATGCCCACAGTGGAGTGTTACTCAACCATTATGGATTAACTGAAGCACAATACTACCCTGTTATCTTTGGTGTATCGAGGGCTATTGGCATTTGCTCTCAGATTGTATGGGATCGAGCACTTGGATTGCCACTTGAGAGGCCAAGGAGTGTTACAATCGAATGGCTAGAAAATTACTGCAAGAAACCAGCTCAAGATTGAAATGTAACAACTATCGCTTGAGAGAGGCGACCATTTTGTGGTCGCCTTTGTCAAATTAGATCAGGAAATTTTCATGTTCGACAAATAAAATGTATTTTAATACTGTCATAAGTAAAGTTTCTAAGGTTGGCTACAACTTTTCTTCATTGGCTTTCTCTTACCTCTTTTCCTACTATATCTGTATTTTTCTCATGTCGTAATTTTTAGCCTATGTTAGGTTTGTGACCCAAATTCAGTCTAGATATGTGTGATTTGGAGGCCTAGTTGAAGTGGTCTTCAATAGATCAACAGTATAGACCGAAAAGAAAAGTCGTCAGATTTTTGCTAATATACCGCTAGCTGGTTGCTTGAGCAACATGCAAATTTTTGGAAGTAGAGAACTGTTGCCCACCTATCATCGAGCTCTCTCTCGAGCTACTGGGCTATCGCTCGCCTATCACTAGACGTCGCTCGAGTGATAGTGTCATCCAGGTTTTTTGTTTTATGTCGGTTTCACGCGTATTTTGACCTAGTTTCCATCTTTTAGGTTATTTCTAGGGTTTGGGACATCCCCTATAAATAATAGACTCTTCATTCAGTTTAAATATTCCAAATATTGTAATTTTCTCTCAATTGGTTGTCAAGTAATAAAATTACTCTGTTCTTCTACCAATCTCTCGTCTTACTTTAATTTTGTTCTTACTTATGCGATCAATATTTCATGTCATGCCACATTAATCTCCCAATTTCATAACAAGTAATATCAGAGCTATTGATTGTGATTTTGTTTGAGGTTTCTGTTATCGATGGCAACTATAAAGTTTGAAATTTTGCTTTTGGATCGCAATACTAGATTTTTGTTGTGACAAGTAAAGATGCGAGTTGTATTGGCACAGATGGATTTAGACGATGCGTTATTAGGTTTGACAAGATGCCCACAGCTTGGACAATAGAGAAGAAGCAACAGAAGGATCGAAAGGCATTTTCATGGATTCATCTTCATATTTCTAACAATATTCTTCAGGGCATTTTGAAGGGAAGACAACATCTACGTTGTGGTTGAAGTTGGAATAATTGTGCATGGTCAAAAGTCTGATGAGCAAATTGTATTTGAAGCTGAGGTTGTATTCTTATCGCATGGCAGAATGTGGATGTTAGATTGAAGAATATGTGTTCTGGAAATCTTCTCTCACAATTTCATTATACAGAGATTGAGGGATACATATAGTCGTTGGGGCGGGTCTATATTTGGATACTTTTACTAATTATGCTAAAAGCTATAATTACAAGACTAATTTAAAGATTACTGGCACAATTAACTCTAATTTCACAGCTCATGCCAACACTTCCCCTCAAGTTGGTGCATATAAGTTGGTGCATATAGATCTCTCATGCCCAACTTGTCGAGTGAGTTGTGAAAGTTCTTGCTACACACGGCTTTGGTAAGAATTATTGCTAATTGATCTTCAGACTTGACAAACGGGAAACGAATTATCTTGGCCAGGTTCTCTTTGATAAAATATCGATCTACCTCCACATGTTTTGTTCGATCGTGTTGTACGAGATTATGAGAGATATTGATGGCAGCCTTGTTGTCACAAAAGAGATCCATCTAACAGTCTGGAGTGAAGCCAATTTTTGTCAACAGTCTTCTTAGCCAGAGGAGTTCACAAAGACCCTTAGCCATCCCACGAAATTCTGCTTCTGCACTTGATACGGCTACTACCTTTTGTTTCTTACTTCTCCATGTCACCAAGTTTCCCCCAACAAATGTAAAATACCTTGAGGTGGACTTTCTATCGAAAATATTTCCTGCCCAATTAGCATCTGTGTAGCCTTCAATTCTTAGATGATTATTCTTTGAGAGCATAAGTCCTTCCAGAGGATGACTTTAGGTACCTGAGAATTTGGATCATTGCATCCATATGATCTTCACTTGGGTAATGCATGAATTGACTTACCACATTTACTGCATAAGCCAACTTGGTTGTGATATTCTCCAAGTTTGTGATTATGGACAATTGGTGTATCTTCCGGTTTACATTACAGTAGTCCAACTTCCGATAGTAGGTCTAGAGTATATTTTCGCTGAGAAAGAAATATACCTTACTTTGATCTAGCGACCTCAATTCCTAGAAAATACTTGAGCCCTCCCAACGTTTTCATATCAAACTCGGTCGCCAATTGTTCTTGGAGTCTTGAGATCTCATCCTAATCATCTCCTATAATAATCATGTCATCTACGTACACTATCAATGCTGTTACCTTGCTTCCTCGATGTTTTAGGAAGAGAGTATGATCTAAGTTACTCTATCGAAAACCATACTTTCTCATAGCTAGGCTGAGTCGTCCAAACTAGGCTTGAGGAAATTGTTTCAAGCCATACAGTGTTCGTTGTAGTTTACACATGACTCTGCCAGAGGTCGTCACATACCCTAGGGGAACATCCGTATAGATCTCCTCTTCAAGATCTCTACGAAGGAAGGCATTCTTCACGTCAAACTGATGTAATGGCCAGTCCAAGTTTGCTGCAAGAGATAGGAGAACTCTAACAGTATTTAATTTGGCCACTGGTGAAAATATCTCCTAATAATCTACCCCATATGTCTGTGTATAGCCTTTTGCCACTAGTCTTGCTTTGTAGCGCTCAGTTGTTCCGTCAGCTTTGTACTTGATAGAGAATACCCATTTGTACCCTACTGTGTTTTGCCCTTCAGGAAAAGAAACAAGGACCCAAGTCTCGTTCTTCTCCAGCACCTCCATTTCTTCCTTCATAGCTTGAACTCGTCTTGAATCTTTCAATGCCTCGTTAATAATTGTAGGAATACGGTACGAAGATAAATCATTCGCAAATTTCTTGAGTAGTTCAGAAAGCCTCTCTGTAGAGACATAATTAGCAATGGGATATTTTGATCTCTATGACTTGATCTCAGGTGAATATGATGAATATCTACTCGGTGGTTTTCCACGATTATGCTTGAAAGGTAGCTCATAACCACGATCAACCTCATTATTTGAGATAAGAGGTATAGTAGGATAACTTACCTCGACTATATTCTCAGGAGGCGGGTCATTAGGTACTGAGAAGTGGAGGGCTACTATTTCAGTTTCAGGAGATATATCAAGAATTGGCTCTGTAACAAGTTCCTTATCGGTTGATTGAGTAGTAGTTGGTACCACTGTTTCTGTATTCTCAGTGCTACTAAACCAGTCAAACCTCATCCAATTTAGCTATTCATCCTGTGTCTCCCCCTGAAGAAAAGAATTGGATGCAGGAGAGAAAAATGTATTGTTCTTGAGGAAAGTAACATCCATAGTAACATAGGTGCGTCGAGTAGTCGGATCGTAATAGCGATAACCTTTCTGATGGATGGCATATCCCAAGAATAGGCACCTAAGAGCACACGGATCAAGCTTCGTGTGTTGGTCTTTGTAGAGATGAACAAAGGTAACACACCCAAATATTCGAGGTGGAAGATCAATGTCGTTGGTAAGATAACATAGGTTGACAGAGTTTGCAATGGAGTATTAAACTTGAGTACTTTGGATGGCATCCGATTGATTAGGTGCACAGTGATAGTTATTGCATCAGACCAGCAGGAACTTGGAACGTGTGCCCCAAGTAGAAGTGCTCGAGCTGTTTCAAAAATGTGGCAATTTTTCCGCTCGACTATACCATTCTGTTGAGGTGTCTGACGACATGATGTTTCATGAATCAATCTGTGATGTTGAAAGTACTCACGAAACTGATGATTTACATACTCATCACCGTTTTCGGACCTAAGGATCTAAAGCTTAGCTGAAAATTGAGTTCGGATCACTCATGAAAATATCGAAAAACAGTAAATACTTCATTTTTATGTTTCAATAAGTATAGCCAAGTCATTCGAGTACAATCATCAACAAAAATTACAAACCAGCGGAAACTAAACAGAGTAGGCTTTGGGGAAGGCCCCCACAAATCTGAATGAACTAATGCAAATGGAACTTCACTCTTATTTATATGTAATGGATAGGGTACCCGATGACTTTTAGCTAAAATGCAAGTTTCACACTTAAAATCCGAAATAGATAATTCTAAAAATAAATCAGGAAACAAGTGTTGCAAATAACCAAATGAAGGATGACCTAGTCGATGGTGCCAAAGTCAAATTTGTTTCGACTTGGTATCACTCAGTTGACCAACATGATGTACTTGGCCCAAGCTGAATCATCCATATAATAGAGGCCCCCTCTTAGTACCACACCCAATGATCTCCTTTGAGAGTATATCCTGAATAAGACAGTATTCTGGGTGAATAAGTACAGTACAATCGAGTTCTTTAGTGATTTGACTCACATGTATTAACTTGTGAGAAAGGGAAGGCACAAGTAAGGATTAGATAGTGATAAAGTTGGCGATAACCTTACGGTACCAGCCCTTTTTACCGAAGAGATACCCCCATTGGCACTGGCAATACTAGCCCGTCGACGACGAGTATGTTGACAAAAATCTCGTGCATCAAATGTCATATGGTCAGAATCAAGAATCCATGTATTACAATTCTTATTGTTCTTAGACTCGAGTAGAGCCATACCTGAATTTGAGGTGGGAGATTCGGTCGAAATGAGGGGCAAGTGTGGTTGTGCTATAGTAACTACTGCTTTACTAGTGTTGGCATCTTTAGTGTCGGCCATGGACAAACACGGAATACAACTCTCCGACCGAGTCAACCTAATGTTAGCATCTGATGAATTTTGAAGAAGAATTTGAAGAAAAGAAGACATGTCTTCTGATTCATTGTTTCCATACAGATCCGCCATTTCAATATTCCAACACTGTAATAAGATCACGACTTCATCCAAAAATAAATAAATAAATAAATTCCACGATTTGATAATTAGACTTTTCTGGATATTTTTCTGCCTTATCTTGAAAAAACCCAAGTCTGCAATCTCCAAAAAAATATGAAAATTAAATGGAATTAGACTCAAATTTATCCCTCAATTCAGCCCCCAGTAGTCACCGACCTGTGTATATGTATAAATAAATTTCAGCTCCCAGAAGCAGTCGCCCAGTGTCTCCAAAATTGTTGTTTTTCTGTTTAGATCTGTATAATCCCAAGCAGCCATCGACTTTATTTGTTCAGCAGCTCAATTCTCTGCCTCTTTTTTTGTCCAATTCAGCAGCCTGCCTTTAATGTTTGACTAGACGAAAACTCCAATTTCCTCCAGCTGTGATTCTTCGTGTCTATCTCTTTATCCTAGATTCTGGTGGTTATAC